ATCGTGCTATCTATCAAGGTATGAGCAAGATGATGAGTGGCCAGATATTTTACTCATTTTCCTCAGTCACAAGATGCCGCGAAAAGTTCGTTGTAAAATAAATAAACTTACAGAATCTGATAAACTGTTGAGATTTATTTAAAGAATAATGTTTTGTATACTTGTCATTTAATATCATCTGTACATATATAACAATTGAGGAACTACAAATATTGTACAGATCTATAATAAGTTGAGTTAAGTGGTCAATAAGAGTTTTTTATATGTTATGGACACAGTTGTTGTTGTGTGTTATTGAAAAAATTTCCCAAAATTTGAACGTGGAATCATAATATATTTAGAGATAAATTACACAGACGTTTCGACCCTGTCCTTATCAATGTTCTACAATATAAAATAAAATAAAATAAAATAAAATAAAATAAAAAAAATAAAAAAAAAAAATAATAGTGGCTAGATCGAGGTAACAATGGAAATGTGAAATAACTTACAAAAATAGTCAGATAACCAACACGCTGTGGCACGCTCGAAGTCAACGGTGTGGCAGTTGACAATACAGTGCGACAACGTTGGCTGTACAATATTCAGTTGAAACTTACAAATAATGTAGAGTGGGTAAGAAGTCATGTGATAGTTCCCTCTTATTATTCTTCAAACAATGTTAAGTAAGTCTTATCTAGAGAGTCGACATCATTCTGTAAATTTAAGCCGGCTGATTGTTTATTAATGTATAGTGCTTCGGATATTAAATGTTTAAAATAAGATGGCTCAATGTCAAGAGTTTCAATGTTCTCAGTCAAAATCATGTGAGTAGTTCAATTTATGGTCAGTAATAACAGATTTTTGGGATGTATTTCTATGGATATGATTTTTACAGACTTATACAGATTATACATAACTAAAAGAATATCTGCTACGTGATAAAATATATTTTGTTCTTTTTTTACTTAAAATATGTCTGCATTGTTTTGTGGCACGAAGCACTCACCAAATTGTAGAACATCTATATCAGTGCTATGAACAATATGTAAGAACTTGGAGCTACATATTAGAAAATGTAATCAGATGGGATTCGCGTATCGTGTCAAGATTTCTGTGCGATAAATGGATATATACATTATGCATTTTCTTCACTACATCGCAAAATGTTAGTTATAAAATACATAAAATAATAGGATCTGATGAACTTTGTTGGTATTTATATAAAAAACTTTCTCTTCAGATTAAGTTATTTAGCAAGTAAGGTTTCGTGTAGTTATCATTAAATATTACCTGTACATGCATATAAAAATGTTAGGAAATATAAACCTTGTTCTTTCAAATATAGGTACAAACAAAGAAAACTAAATTTTTTGCGACAAAAACTGTATATGATATGTAAAAAAACAATTGTTTATTCATTGTATTTACACTATAAATTTGTGAAATCAAACATTCATATGAAAGTGCACACAGTTGACTTGAGAAATAATAATATCAATTATATCGGAATGTACTTTTTTATATTATTTAAAGTAAATGTAACACATAAGCGTTGCTTAACACAACGAAGAGATAATCTGTCCTTTTCCGCAATTATCGTCGATATATATCTAAGCGCGTAGAGAGGTGATCGTTCTGGCGTAATGTTCAGAGTTGACTGTAGCATTCGGTCTCATCAGACAAAACCGACACGCACGTTTGAAAGTCGAATACGTCGAGAGCGGACAGAAGAGACGAGTTAGAGACGTCGCTCGCCCAATGACGGGAGAATGGGAACGAGAATGGAGGATATAAATCGATGCGCAAGCAGCTTTGCGCGAGCTGTTCTCGTTTTGCGGTCGGCCGTAGCACCTGTGTCCCCCATCGTCGATGGCGGGGTGGGAGGGAAGGGCATTTGGCGCCAGAGGGGAGGGAAGAAAATAAATGCGAATCGATCGGCAGCTTAATCATTCCGGGTTTGCCCCGTTGAAAGACTCTGAGGGGTGGCGCTGGGACAAAACGCGCACGGGCGCGAGAGAACTCTCTTTCCCCTCCCGAGACCGAGATATTGCCCTCTGAAAGGCGTACATTCGTTCCCCCGCGACTCGATCACGTCGTATAAAGCACTCCTGGCGCAACAAGAAAAATGCGCTCGGGAGACGCGCTATAAAAATCCAGTCGGCGCGAATAAAGCGCTATTCGTCGACCGGCGATAAACCGTCGACGCGATCGATAATGCGATCGCCGCCGACGACGCTCGTCGACGCCTAACCAGTTTTCGAACGTGCCTCGCATTTTCCCACCCCCGCGACGTCGGAATCTCGGCGATCCGCAAAAATTCCGCTTTCATATAAAATTCCCCGCGCAGAATATTCACGCAGAACGATCGGACGTGAGTTCGCCGATTTATTTATTTTTTTCCCCGCGACAAGAAAACGAAACTCTTCGATATTTTATGCGATATGTATCGCGCGCGCCCCCGAGTTTCTTCTTCGCGTGAACGAAACATTCGCATCGATTAAGATTAACACGTTTTTTTTTTTTTTTTTTTTTTTTAATTGAGTTATAGAATTGTTTGAAGAAAGAAAAATTTCTCGTTCTTTGAAACACAACCGGATAATTGCGAGCGTTTCGACTCGTCCGCGTGTCGCGCTTTCGAATCTTTTCACGCGTCGTAATTCCAAAACCTCGGCGACGCGGAAAACTCTTTACACGCGGCGCATATCCGCGGTATCCCTCGGCGGAAGGAAGATCAAGCAGCGCACCAGATCCCATTCGAGAACGGGGGGAGGTGATTGACGAGGCGTCTCGCGGAGATATAAAAGCGTTATACGACGTGGCGCGCGATATGGCGTTTTCCGTGATCGGCGGTGCTTCTTCTCCGGTGCGCGCGGGATAAGCCGGAAGTCGCCGAAAGAATAGTGTGGCGGAAGAAATTTAGCTCCTTTAACAAGGTGCGCCTCAAAGCGTGCGCCCGAGCGTGGCTTTTCCAGCGCGGCGGTCGCTGTATGGTATGCAAAAATTTACTCGAGTGCGCGTAATACGCTTCGTGCGCGTTTATCGAACGAACCTTCCCGCGCGGTGTTTCTTTTTTTTTTTTTTTTTTTTTTACGCGCGTTTCGGGAATAAAAATTCTGATCTGACCGAGGTAACGGCTCGCGACTAACTCGTATACGCGCGACTGCATTGTGTTACATCAAGATGTAAAAGCTAAACTGATGGCCTCCGACTTTTACTGCGTTCGAATAACCGTCGCTGTAAATGTTTACCTCTCGCTGCGGAATGAACAACTTCTCCCGATGTCGTAATCGCGTGATTCCGACGATATATATATATACACACATATATATACGCGTGTATATATTGGATCATAAATTTTACGATTACCGTTATTGCGTAGCTTTAGTGCTTCGTGTACACGTGCGCGGCGGCCCGTTCGAGGAGTTCGCTCGCGTGCGAATTACCGTCCGGTGCGCAGTTACGCACGTTAGAGGAGGAGCGTTTTCGCAGCCTAGTCGTTGCGCGTGTGTCGAACGACGACTGCGTTGTAAACGCCGCGCAGTTGTATAAATATACACACGGAGAAGATATAAATCTCAAAATCACCGACGAGAGAGAGAGAGAGAGAGAGAGAGAGAGATCTCGAATGTACGATCTAAACTCCGAAAACTCTTCGGAGTTCGAATGTGCGGGATGTGCGGGAAAAAAAACTAGCGATCCCGCGGAAGCAGTGAACCGTCGCTTTTGTCGCGCGCAATTCTGCCGAAAGATCGCGGAAAATTATTTTCCGAAAGGATGTTGGGAGGGAGGGGGGAAAAGCGTTGCCGGAAGAACGAGATTCTCCACGGCGTTCGACCAGACTTTCCTCTCTTGTCCCGGGGAAAACTTGTACGGGAGCAAAACGGCCGGTGGTTTACGAAACGCGACTCAATTCTCGGCGTTCGTAATGAGCGTCATTGTTGGCTTGTACCCACCGCGCGCCCTGCTTTCTCCCTCGCGGAGATTGGACTTTTCCGAGCTTTGCCGAGAAACGCGCTCTCTTTCTCTCTCTCTCTCTCTCTCTCTCTCTCTCTCTCTCTCTCTCTTTCTGTGTATGTGCTCCTCCGCCAGTGAGACTTGTTGTCGCGAACAGCACGGCTGTTCGGAGAAACTACAATGCGCCGGGATATTCGATAGGTCGCGCTCTCGAAAGGAGCGTGTAAAGAGGCACGAATTTTTATGTCGAGTATAGAGAAGAGATGAAGAGAGACAGAGAAAGAGAGAAATTACATTGAAAATACTACAATTTGAATTGAAGCAAATTGAAGAATTCACGTTAATGGCGCAAATATTGCACGTGATATTTCGCGTGATATTACGTTAATTCTCGCGATTTTCGCGTGTTTTTTTTTTTTTTTTTTTTTCACGAGAGTCCGGAGAAAAGACTTTCATTGAAATTTCAAGAAAACGCTTTTTCAATTAAATATTCGGTTACCTGGATTTTTATATCGCAACCACGTCTTTTGCGTGATGTGAAATAACAATAGCGAGGACGCGCGCGCAAACCCTGTCTTTTCTTCCGCGCGGAGGAGAAAAAAACCTCAAGATTACGAGGACGTTCTCTCGGTAACGGGATAATAAAGTGACGAGCATTGTAGCTCGCTGTGGACTTTTTGAAGTTTGCTCTATCTCCGAGCTTCCCCCTTTACTCTGCCATTTACGTTATTTTCAGCGTCTTTCTTTCCCTACCTTTCTCCGCCATTTCCCGCTTTGTCTCTTTTTTTTTTTTTTTTTTTACCGCAGAAATAAAAATCTCCTTCCCTCCCTCCCTCCCTCCCTCACTCCGAACCCTTAAAAACTTTGCGGTCTCGAAGAACTAAATTGCAACGTTCTTTCTCGTTGTACTTTCGCGGGGAAGAAACTCAAAGAGTGGCTTTCTTCGAAGCGCATTCGTTCGTGCGCGACGATGAAAGAGTACATACATTTAGCATCTTTAGAACCAGAAGGGATATTTTCACGGAAATTTCTAACGAAATGTATTTTTTTCCTGTTGATTTCAGCGAATCAGCCCCTGAAGATGGCGGATCTTAGGGGCTCGATATCGTCCGAGCTCGAGGGCAATCCGGTCCTGTGGATCACAAGAATACCGAGCAAAGCCCCCCACTCGCCGGACAAGATTTTCATCAACAACGCGCAGATTCTTCCCGCCCAGAGCGACTTCCAGTCACGGCTTAAATTGAGCGACGGCGAGAAGATTCAGGTGAGCGGAAGTGGTGATCGACGAACTCGATCGAGAAAGAAACGCCGCTTTAATTTTCATAAATATTATCACCCGCTTATTAAGGTACTTGCGAAGCGCCGATCGTCGCAAATGCCGCTTTATCAATTTTAATGAGAATCAGAAGGTTAGCCAAACGCGCGGCGAAATTTATGCGCGAGCGTTGTGTGTAACGGAATAAATTTCGTAGAAGATTAGATGCACAAGCGCTTGAATGTCGGCGTTTTTTTTTTTTGTTCTTTTGTTTTTTGCGCGCACATAAATTAAGGAGCAAAGCTCGCCGCCGCCGCCGCCGCCGACGCTGTTGCATGAGAAATGCGGGCGAGAAATAAGGGAGACGCCGCGTTCTTTTCGTTTTCTTTTGTTTTTTTTCGCGGGAAAAAGAACCGCGCGCGAGAGATATACCGGGGGCGTCGATAAATCGCGAGTTTATCTTCGCGAGCGATCGCTTTCATCCCCTTTCGCGTCCCCCTCCCTCCTCCTTACACACAGCCTCCTCGAACTTTTCCGCGATTTGATTTCTCGGCGCGTCTCGGTAACGTCCGACGCGTTACTTCGGCGGTCCGTGCCGCCGGCTTTCTAACGAGCTTTTAATGAGCTCCACACGCTCTCTCCCGCGCCTTAGCCGCGGGACCATTAGGCTGATGGATATCGCGGGCCTCGATAATGTCGAACGGCGCTTCCTGACATTCGCACTCTCGCGAGAGTCATCAGCCACGGGAGATTATCGATGGCGCGTCCGATGCGCGCAAATTAAACCCGACTGCTAACGTAGTCCCGATTCCGCCGTTAGCCGCTAATTATTTCGAGACCCGAGTACTCGCTCTCGAAGTGTAACTCGAACTCAGAGCAAATATAAATGTAGTTTTTTCGTTCGGTGAAAAAACACGTAAAACTTTTAATCATCTTTGCGCTGTCCTAATTTGTTTAAATCGCACAAATAAGACGTTTTGAAATTTTCAGTAACTTCTTTCGCGGTGACACACACGCGATTCATCGGATCGTTTTGCGCAACCGCAAAAGGTCGTCCTCCTATCAGAGGACCGAGATCTTTTTCGAATAACCTCGTGGTGAATTCGTTGTCGATAGCGCGGTCGCTCGATGCCTTTCAGGCGCGTCTCGCCAGCTGATTTGGGTTTTCGTTCGAGGCGCGCAGCGAAGGCGGATCTCATTTCAGGTTTGCCAGACGAATCCTTTAATCTATAGTTAAAGTACACCATCACCTGATGAAAATCGCACGAGACTAGTCGGAGCTACGACTAATCCCTTCGACGAGCTCGCCGAGGGCAGATCAATCTCTCTGTCTCTCTCTCTCTCTCTCTCTCTCTCTCTCTCTCTCTCTCTCTCTCTCTCTTGCCTTCCTTCGGTAATATTAGAGAAACTTTTCTCATCCACTTAACCCGTAAGTTCCATTGCCTCCGTTACTTCCCGTGCTCGTTATCGGAGCATGAAAATATCGGCCCGTAAATTGTGTGTCCTTTATCGCATTTTTTTTTTTTTTTTATAACAGACTTGAATGAATTCGAAGTACACAGAAGGATGGATATTATGTTTCTTTTGACTCTCGTCGCAATTCCGCACGATGATTCGCGATCGAAGGGACTGATAAACGTACTCTAATGTAATGATTTTGACAATTTCGCGTTTATATTGTTATTGAATTTCCATAGGCTTACTATTAGTTAGAATAATTTGATACCAGTTAATGTACTTATGCACACGTGCGCGGAGAGATAGAGAGAGAAAGAGAGAGAGAGAGAGAGAGGTTGAATCACTGTTTGTCGAATTTGACAGAAAAAAAAAAACAAAACTATCGTTTCCACGCGCGCCTATTCGCGGGAATTAGCGGTAATGATTGATAGTAACATTATCGTTAATAATCGCGAGTGTGCCAATTAGCCGACGCGGATGGCCACTATCATCCCCACCGCGGGTATAACTTACATTAATCATCCGTAATTATTAATTGCGGTATCGATCCGATATAACGCAATGATTGATAGGAGCGCGGCCAGACGCGAAAGTGAAATAACGGCGGCTACCGATAGCCGCCGCGCGGTGCAATAATTACAATATCGAAATGTGAGCGAAACGGTCGAGAATGTAGGTAAAGATTTCGAGATCTATGCCGTATCTATACATATATACACGTTGGTAAAAGTGCAATCTGGTCTCGCAACTCCCTCTCCGTTATTTCATTTGTTTTTCAGAGCTCGTGTTGCTGCGTGACAATATTTATTAATTTTGCGAAAACAGCGAAACACGTTTCTGTCGATTACGCGCAAGTGTCGCGAGATACCTACCTTTCACATATTTCCCGTAAGATACACGTTTGTTTTGTTGAAAATATATTATATTTAGTTGCGCGCGAACAGTTCTCTCCGTCATTTTTATTTCTTCCCGAGCTTTTGTGGATGCGCGGTAATATTTAATTCTATTCATAGAATTACACCGAGAGATGCATTTCTATCGTTTTCTGTCGATTCTTACGCGAGCGCGGGATATCTCTTTCCGCGCGTGTGACAATAACAGGAACTTGCGTCTTGACAATGGGACGGGTCAGCGGATCCGCTTTCATTCGAGGCGCGCTTCCCCCCCGTTCCTCGCACGGAAGCACCTCGGCATATCTATCAACTCGAGGAATAGATTTATGCGCATTGTCCCTCCTCGCGCGCGTGCACACACACACACACACCCGATAGATACACGTATTCTATTATCCCGGCGTCTCAGAAGCGAGATAGGAATTTTTCGCCGAACGACAGAAAGAAATATTTCCACCGATAGGAGAAATTCTCATCCCTTTTACACACTCGCGACGGCTCTTTTTTTTTTTTTTTCGACGCGCGCGAACGACGCGGAATTACCTCTGTATTTATTGGTATAATGTATCGTTCTCTTTCTCTCTCTCAATTTAAGTTTCCGTGAAACAAAACTCGCGGCTTATTTTCTCTCATACGGGGAAAGGTAGAGTCGATGGGCTCTTCCCCGTTCGTCGATCCGCGTTGCAATTCAGCGAATGGGCTCTCGTAACTGTCCGTCCCGGCACTTTATGATTATGGACATCGTATTTACGATTACGCCGGATTAGAAATATAGTCCAACGCGATGCGCACGTTTTTAAGTCGCTCGTAAATAACGCGCATGCGTTAATTCTTCCCCGTTCTTATCCTTTATTCAATTTAGCGTCTCGTCCTCATAGCGCGAAACGCGCGCGTTCCCTTAACCCGATTTATTCCACGGGAGCGATTTATTTTTTAAACGACCGGCCATCTCTTTCCCTCGTTCCGCGCGCGCGCGCGCACGCCGTTTTCTTCCTCGCGGTCATACCGCGCGATACACTCGGATGGATCTGAGAAAAACTTGAAGGGGGGGTCTCAATTTATGAGCAAGACATTTGCGACAAAATTCGAGCCGTTCTTCTTCGACGCATTATTTTATCACGCCATTTTTGCCGAGAGATGCGCGCGCGAGATTTACGACGTCTTGAGAGATCCTCCTTCTTTAAGTTTCGATTTCCTGACGGATCGCGCGAAGGGCGAAATAAAAGGGGGAAAAGAGGGCTCTTCATCCCCCCGGAGTTATGGGCAGTTTTATTACGTCAGGCTTTCCGCGCGTGAAGAGCGAGAGGAATTCGAGAGGAGAGTCTCGATCCAATTTGGAGATATATATATATTTCGCAGATTTGTTTTTCGTTTCTCTTCTCGTTATCCCCGGGAAATTCAATACGCATTACTTTCCTGTCAATCACTCAACGTTTTGTTTAAGACTCGTCTAAGCAAACTCGTTCCCTCGCCCCGCCCCCGTCGTAATCTCTCATCTTCGTGACCGAAATCTGTCTTGCCGGATATAACCTTGCAAAAATATCGCTTCGTAGCATCTTATTTAGTTTGTGAAACTTGTTTCGCGCAATATCGTAATACCGTCCGCGATGGATGCAAGATTTTGAGAGAGACTCGGAGCAAAACTCGAATTTTAACGAAGTTCTTCTCTCGTCGTGTTCGCGCGCGCGCGCTGCGAAGAGAAAGGGGTAAAAGGCTGCGCGGTAAGGCTTTAAGAAGAAAAGATGAGGGAGGGAAAGAGAGAGAGAGAGAGAGAATGTTTTTAATCTCAAAAGACTGTGAGAGTTTTGATCTCATTATACAAACGCCGACCACCCCTTCGAATCAACCCCTCTCTCTCTCCTGTTTTCTAACAATCTAAAGAAATTCCAGTTCGAATAACTACACCGCCGGCGGGATCGCCTAAAGAGTTACGGTTAATGGAGGGGAAAAATGCCGGGGTGGAATGACGAGAGGGTTGATGAGAGAGAAGCAGAGAAGAGAAGAGAGAAAGAAAGGGAATGCCGCGGATACTTGAGCAGCGGGAAACCGTTGGCGCACAAGCGGTTTGTCCATGAGGGAAGAGAATTGAAAATCAGCCATCGCGAGAGCGGCGGAATAGTTGTGAGAAAGGGATGGGAGTTTTTCCGCGGGGGGGGGGAAGGGGGAGAAAGGAGGGGACAGGAAAAGGTTGCGTTTCGCGTATCGGACTTTGCGGGAAATAAAGATGCTCGGTCGGGAAGTTCATGTTGCCGTTGAGGAAAGAGGAATGCTCGTAAAACCGACCAATAGCGAGAACGTAAAAGAGTACGCGCGCGTAAAGAGCAGCAGGAGAAGAAGTGATCTTGCGAATGCGATAAAACTCGAGTAAAGTTTTTTTTTTTTTACGTGTGATTTTAATGCCGATCGTCCGAAATAACGACCGAATGATAAACGACGTAATCGAAATTGCTCCCGTTTTTTTTCTTCCTTGTTTCAACAAAGACGAGGTTTTTCAGCGCGCGAATGATTTGCGATCTCTTTTCGCAAGAGAGGAGAAAAAATAAAAAATACGTGTAATAAATAATAAATAAATACGCGAAACCGCCGGACGACGCGAATTAAAACTCGAAACGGCGTTTGTGTCAGTGATACATTTCGAGACGGGATAAAATCGGCGGG